TTTTTTTTAATTTTATGATCAAAATTGTATCTTGGAATCCTCAAAACTTGAAAACAGAAATGCCTAGAGCCCAGAAAATAAAAAAATAATTAAGACTCAAAACCTTATTGGCATCAATTAATAATCAATAACTAAAAACAATTTGTCCAAATATTCTGTAGAACAGTCTCTATTTTTATTCTGTAAAAATGGAACTTTAAACAATACAATAAGTCAAAATATCCTGATACAGTAGAGCCTCGAAAACTTGGCCTAATGTGGACCGAAGGGTGGCCGAGTTTGTGAAAATGCCGGGTTATCGGAAATGGCGTTAAAAAAATAAGTACAAGTGTGGAGTCCTCAGAAAATACTGTACTATACTTGTATGTATTGTTTGCTTGAGAATACAACAAAGAATAAACTGCCCAAATATCCTTAAACAAAGAAAAAGTACGTCTTTTATGAAGGCATAAAGCCTTTACTACATGAAAATGAAAATTAATGAATACACTGTACAGTAATTTACCTGATAAGACAGACATCAGAAAAATACTTTATGAGGCATAAAGCTGTCTTTATCATGAAAAGTAATTAACTAAGGATTTTTTTGCCCTGCCAGGGTGTGGCCGAGTTATCCGGAGTGCCGGGTTATCGAGTGCCGAGTTTTCGAGGCTCTACTGTATATAAATCAACCCAAAATTCTTGTTTAAACTCATACTTGCCATTTAAGTCAATCTTCCAAATATACAGTTGGCTAAATCTGCAACATATGATATAGGCTACATGGCTTTGTAATAAAAGCATGTCATAAGGCTACACTGCTCACATTGCAAAAAATAATCACATCATCTTTCAATACAACAAATATATTACATAGCTCATGTGAAAAAGAATGTGCCAACAAAATCTTCATAGAATATCAAGCTAAAAATTTTCAACATGTTACCTTGGTAAGAACTAACCTATTATACAAAAGGTCTACCAGTAAACATATCCACACCAAAATCTACACTTCTAATAGTGTTAATACAAGGGTGGATCAAATATAAATAGTAATTTTGCTATTCTGCTTACCACACAGTTCCTAGCTAGATGATGTACAGTGCAGTTGATGTTTGGTTTGTGAGGAGTGGGTGAACTGGCTTGGTTAACGAGTGCACTCGGTTCTGTCGTCAGTACAGCCATGACTGAGCAAAAGGTACATTCATCTGCTGCACAACGCATCATCGTAAAATTTTTAACTAATTTCCGAGGGGGTTAAACCCTCAGAAATTTTTAGTCGATTGAAGGCACAGTTTAGTGATAGTAACCTATCTCAGAATTGTGTGTATACATGGGCCAGAGAATTTAAGGGTGGGCAAGAACATGTCGAAAACAAAGCTCATGATCGACGCCCAAGGACAAGCCTTACAGATGACAACATCCGTACCGTTCAAGAGCTTATTGAACGTGATCTCCGGTTAACTATTGAAGAAATCTCATCAGAAGAGGGTGTCAGCTATGGGAGTGTTCAATCTGTTATTACTGATCATCTTGGCTTCAGAAAAATTAGTGCCCGATGGGTTCCGAGGTTGTTGACCAGAAATCAAAAACAGGTTAGGTCGAAATGGGCTGGGAAACTCTCAAACACCCTCCTTATAGTCCAGACTTGTCCCCCTGTGACTACTTTTTGTTTGCACCCTTGAAGGAATCACTTGGAAGAAAATGATTTGCAAGCAATGAAGAAGTCAAGGAGCACGTGCGGAATTGGTTCATAACTCACCTTCAATCTTTTTATGAGAGAGGGATATTGAAGTTTTAAAATTGTTGGCAAGAGTTTGTAGAGCTTGCAAGAGGATATGTAGAGAAAAACTAAAGTTTTCACTTGTGTATATTATTAATCAATAAACTTCTAAAAAAAAATTACCGTTTATATTTGATCCACCCTTATAGTTTATGCAGTAAAGTACAACAACAGTATCATTATATATCATATATGACAGTTGAATACTATAGAATGTTTTTCTTTAGCTCTACTAATTGCATCAGTGAGGCACATCAGCTGTTGGAAATAGTGTGGTATAGTTCTCATTTATACTACATTTTTATTATTATATAAATTTCTATGTCAATAAGCTAAATAAAAATAGCATATCTTAATCCATATTATTTTTATTTTACTTGGAAATATTTGTGGCAGTCTGCTGAAGTTACAATGAGATACACAGCAAACTGTTAGAAACATCGTTCTACTTGTATACCACTCTGTTATAAAGGTTTGTATTTTCTACTTGTTGCATAAATCAAACCCTAGTTCTTAAGATATTTTTCCACACTTATTTCTGATCATTTATTCAAGAAGCAAACGTTAATTATTTTATTTAATGAAAAAATTAAAATTTTTGAGTTTATGAAAATACAATATCAAAACCCATTCAAGTTAAACAGTTTGATTTAACATGTAAATCCCTAAGCTGAACAATCAGGGAAAGAAAATGACTTTGAGTTATCCGGGCTCAAGTTAACCAGGCAGGTTCTACTGTAATTAGAAAATGTTATTACTAAACTAGCGGATGAGTCTGACGATGCTCGGGCAAAAAGTAATGATAGCAAAGATTAAGATTATAGCCAATCTTACCTGTTTTCACCAGGTGCAAGAATTAGGCCCCCCTCTTCCGAGACTAATTAGAGAATTTTTAGATGAATCTAAAAATATGTTCGATTTCCCACAAAAAAAAAAAAAAAAAAAAAAAAAAAGCATCTAAAATAGTACAGTAGAATCCAAGTTCAAAGTAATCCTTAACCCTCTACCTCTCCCCCATGGGAAAATTTTGAAAAATTTATTCTTTGTGTACATTCTTATGACGTACCCTAATTGTGTTATTAAATTTCAACTTTTGACTCCTAACCATTTGTGCTCTGCGCTTATTATTATTATCAACCAATCTTAATATTATAATATTAGGGTCAAATTTATGAGAAATTTTGTTTTCACTCTTCTATTTATTGAATATCTAATAGAAAAAAAATGATTAAAATCATTATTGAAATTTAACTGAATGAATCTTTAGTATTTAAAAAGATTTTTTATTTAAGTAACCTAAAAAATGAAAAATTAACTTACTTAATGATAACTTACTTTAATAAAATGATTAATTTAAAATTCTAAAATCTAAAAAAACTTGTTTGGAGCATTATATTTCAAACCAATATTTCAAATTTTTTGTATTTCCAAATTTGTAACAAATTCAAATATTCATTCAAATTTGTTTATTTTAAAATTTATTGTTTTTGGGTTACCTGAAAGGTGGAAATGATTAAAATATTTATTAATTGCCAAAATGTATACTATATGTGCCACTATTTATTTTCCTTTTTTATTATTTACACTTTATACTGACTCTCTCCTCTCTTCCATCAGGGGGTGGAATTTCCAAAAATTCTTTCTTAGTGTGCATTCTCATGGTGTATCCTAACTGTGTACCAACTTACAACTCCTAACTGTTTTGGCTCTGCGCTTATTATTATTATTATATAGTATTTAGTGGATTATACTCAGTTGATACCAGTGGCTATTATTATGTTAAGTTTTGTAAGTTATACTCGGTTGACACTGGTGGCAGTGTACTATGCCAGACCAGAGTCAAGGCATAGCAACCAAAACAAAACTAAAATTAAATAAGTGTGTCAGTGTGTGTGTCTGTATTCAGGAATTTCCTAACAATGTGACATGTATTCAATATAGTGGCCTTCTGTAGTGTGATGTATGTATTTCTATTGAATTGCAATGTTCCTAGGCTTTTGTGTAGTGTGTGGGGTATCACACCTGTACAGGAGAGAACGACAGGTACAATAAGCACCATATCCATCCTCCACAGATGCCTTATTTCTTGGGCAAGTTCTGTGTACTTGCTAATTTTTTCAGTGCATGTGTTTTGTACATTGTGAGTGTTTGGAATGGCTATGTCTATAATGTATGTGATTTTATTGTGTTTGTCAATGAGTGTGATGTCTGGTCTGTTGTGGTAAATTGTTTTATCTGTGATTATGGCTCTGTCGTAGTACATTTTGTGCGTGTTGTTTTCCAATACTGTCTGTGGAATATACTTGTAGTATGGTTCGTGGATGTCTAATAATTTGCATTTATTTGCAAGCTCTTGGTGTATTATATTTGCTACTTGATTATGTCTATGTAAGTAATCTGTCTGTGCCAAGAGCTTGCACCAGAAGTGATGTGTTGTATAGTTTCTGGCTTGATGTAGCATTTTCTGCATGTGTCATTTGTGAGTGTTGTATCTTTGAGTATGCATTTTCTGTAGTTTTTAGTATTTATGACCTGATCCTGTATGGCAATCATGAATCCTTCCATCTCCCCAAAGAGGCATCCCTGAGCTAACTAGCTGTTTGATGCAGTTTTGTCAACAAAATCCTGGGCCAGGTTATAAGGATGCCTGCCATGGAGTGCCTTTTGAGCCCACGATTACTTAGCAGTGATATTATTATTATTATTATCATCACCCCATTTCAATTATATATATAGATACAAAATTTATTGAAGGATAAATCATTAACTATATAAAAGTACAGTAGTTCAAATTACTGTACTATATCTTTCTTTCGTTTGTTTTGAATTTTATAGTATTTTCATATAAAAACTTTTCACTTTATATTTTGATATCAATTGAAAAAATAAATATGTTAAAATAAATCCTTTCACTGGAAAAATTTAAATTTAATTCCTATCTTGAGATTTTCCAAATTTTTCTTCTATCTGATAATATTTTAAACAATCATTATTGTCATGGAAAACAGATTAATATTGAAAATAAAATAAATATTTGAATTTTTTATAAAACTTTTGTTTATGCTAAACTTTTTAATTGTTATAATGTTTTAAATTTAAACATGAAATATGGAAATTAATCTTATTTCTAAAAATTTTTAATTATTCTAATAATTAGAAAATAAATTAATAGCAATATAAATGCATTGTATGTTAATAATAGAAAATTCCAATAAATATAATATTGATTGTCACTTACACTTATCTTCATCTAATTCTGAGTATTCACTCTTCTGCCTGTAGTGATAAAATGTCTTTCAATAAAAGTGTATAACAAAAATAGTACAAAATTATTTAATGTTTCAAAATTGTTTATGTACCATTCTTCTGGTTTTGGATAAGTTGTATGGCGAAAAGCATTATCAGGATCATATTCAAATGCAACACCACATGTTGGAATCCATTTTGCATGTTCTTTTCCAAAGCCTTTCTTTGCGTAAGCCCTTATCTTCAATTCCTGACCTTTACGCAACTTGACCAAAAGGATATCTATAAGATACATACATTTGTGTAATGATAATCTAAATCACAGAATTACATTACATTAAAAAACATACCATCTGTTTCTCCATATTCACTAGTATCATCCTCTCTATGTCTGGAAGTAACCTAAAAAAAATATAATAGTTATTTAACTACTGATGATGTAAACTAAGTTCTTTAAAAAAAGAAATAGGAATGTTATACTTAAAATGAAATTTTGAAAATAAACAAGTACATTTATTCTATTTATATTCAGTTTGATTTTATGGAATACAGCAATACAACATATACATATATGCAATCTCCAAAAACAGATATCTCCCAGAACTTTACAGAAAACTGGCCTCTATTTATATGTTTGACACATGAAGTAAACCCAGAAAACTCTGCACAGTCAACCTACTAGTGAGATGAAAATCCACAACCAATACAAGCAATGTTCAGTGGTATTATCCACATATATAGTCACTGGTTGGCCTATTTATTTTCATCTTGCTTCTATGAAAGATAAATATATTTCTGTCTGTCACCAGATAGCTAGCCATAGCTGTTTAGTAATTTTACAATTTCTTATATTATAAAATAACAATTCTCTGCATGAGAAAATTTCAATTGTGAGAAATTTTCAATTTCTCACAATGTCTTCTCTAATTCCTTACCTGGTCCACCCCTGCAAAGGGAATGAACCATTGAAATGTTGGTATTAGTTATTCTGTCACTTGGTTTCTGATTCAAAGAGTCAGAAACCAAATGACAGAACAATTGAAAACAAAGTTGAAAAACAATTTTTAAAGATTTCTAAAGACCATAGGAGCCCTGATATATGCTAGTTGTTGAAAATACTTGAAATGTCTATATCCATATCTTTCTAAGGTTCTTAACTGACTTTGAGTTCATCCTGGCATAATTTACTATATAAGTATAATAATGATCAAAGCCCAGATTAATAATAAATCTAAACTTCAGAATTTTCAGGTTACATTTATGCTGATTTGAAATTATGGAATTTGACCTAAAGACAGGAAAGTATGTCACAATATCATATTAACATGAATAACATTTTTGTCAACTAAAACGTTATTTGAATATGAGCACTTGCACTGGCCACTTTTTAATCATGGCCTATTTTTTGGTCAACAAAACTGTTGCTTTTCAAAACAGAAAAAAGGGAATTAATTTGTACACTAGTGGTTGTTTAGTTTCCACTCATTGGTGAATCAGTAACTAAACAATAACTATAGTCTATTTATCGTAAGTTGGCATCTATTGTAAACAAACTAAGATACACCCTTCTTTGTTTATTGGTTTAAACCTATGTCCATCAATTAGAAACCACTTGCATCACATTCATTCACAGAAAATAGTTCCTCGTTATTTATAAAATCATTAATGAAATACTGGCCACTTAACAAATATGAAATAACTACATTAATAATCATTGTTAAGTTGTTATTTTTACTGAATATTTGCACATTCCGAATCATTAAAAATAAACCATAACCAGAAAAAACTTATTTTTAATGATTCAGAATGTGCAAATATTCATTAAAAATAACAACTTAACAAATATGAAATAGCTATACAGTGAAAACTGCTTAGGCGACCACCCGCATTCGACGGGCACCTGCCAAAACGGGCAAAAATTTCTGGCACGGAATAGTTTATCCATAGAGTCTTCGTATAAGTTACCTGTATTAAACGACTACCTGCGTAACGCGACCGCGGGCATTGATTTTTGGTCCGAAACAACATATAACACCTGTAATAAGCGACCACTTTCGCGAATGTATCTGGTCTAAACTATTGTAAGAACTCATCTTAACAACGTTTCCGCCTCCTAATATAATGAATTAGTCTAAACTCTCGTTCAAACCCATCCGGGCACTTCTCCCAACCTTGAAATTAGGTGCAGGTGTTAATAAATTAGTCTAGCAACAAAGGAAATTCATTTCAGTTTGTTGGAAAATGTCCGAAATGCAAAGTGCTGTCGTTAGAAGATCGTATTAAAGTTATCACAACAGCAAATAGAGGCGAAGTTTAACTGTGGGAAAACAAAATTTATTTTACCCTAGACCTACAGTATTTTCCTTGGGGGTGTAAAATATTGTACACGATACAATTAATCGGCCGATCTCATCGTTTGATAAAATCTATATTTATTTATTTATTTTGAAGCTCATATACAGTACACGTGCGATAAATAGTTTCTTTTTCAACCTACCTTATTTCCACGATATTTTTAGAAAAATAATATCCAAGTAATTTTCGCAGGCAAAATATTCAAAAAACAATAAACGCATTAATGCAAAAATCAGTTTTACTTCCTTTTTCGATTCCGCGATTGTAATGAAATCGTAAAATGAGAAAAAATAATAAAATAGTTTATTATTAATTAATAATTTTTCTTATTGTACTTAATTAATTAAGAAAATATTAAATATTAAAAAATACAGTATTTTTAAAGTTAAAATACGATTAAATTAACGAAAACCAAAAGCAAAGTGATGGAGAGATAGGACGCGCTTGTATATCGATGACGTAGTACACGTAACTGAGGAGCGAACGAAAAGAACCGAGTCGAATTAATTAAGTCGGAAAAAAGAAAGTGTGCATTATAATCGAGAAAATGCGAGTATTGTATTAATCTTTAAAATACTGGTATTAAATCTGTCTTATAATATCATGACGACTCCTGTAAATCGTTGTTATCCGATAAGAATAAAATACAATACCAATATAGCCCTATCGTTGAAAAAGTTCGCTTATTTTTGCTCGCCTCAAGTTTTGCTTAGTAGAAATGGCTAAAAAGTGCGCAAAATACGTAAGGAAATACGGTATTACAGCACCACCTGTATTGGACGACCACCTGTCTAAAAGACCACTTTTTGAAGGAACCATGGGTGGTCCCCATAGACAGGTTTTACTGTATTTATAATCATTGCTAAGTGACCAGTGTTTCAATAATGATTTTATAAATAATAAAGAACTATTTTCTGTGGACAAATGAGATGCATCACGGTTTCTAATTGATATTTTTCTGTATTTTTTAAAGGACACTTTAATTTTGACAGCCAAGTAGACTACAAAGAAATGTCAGTTGTCAAAATTTTGTATTCTAGAATGTGAATACAAAGTGAATAAACGGGGGAAGTTCCTTTTTTGGGCAGACTTTGTCTTCAAATTTATATTATACAGTTTTTTTAATTGTTAGTTGTTATTTATTCTATTAATAATATAAAATCCATCGTCTGTGTGTGTTTGTAATTTCCTATAACTCTTGCTATTTTTCTCCAATTCAGGTGAAATTTTGGTTATATTCTTTAATTTTTTTGTGTGTTTCGATAGAAATATTAGTTATTTGCTATAAAAAAGATTTTATCAAATTTGGCTCATTGATGTTACTTACATTGCAGTGACATCAGTGATGTCATTTATCATATGTTGCAGTTTTAAATATTTTAGCAAATGATATAATTTTAAATTTACTTTATTAAATTTAAAATTTACATGTTAAATTTTAAAGCACAGCCTCATTGTGTCACTTCTAAAACAATTAAAAAATATTTTATAGTGACCATGTTACATTCTATTATCCAATCAGAAGTAACAATCTAACAAGCTTTTTATTTAGAATGTATTATCATGCATCAATTATGTTCTAAAGGACAGTATAGACTATTTAATTTGTAGAAATAATAGCTATTCTTCTTGAATTTCTTGAAATCTTCAATTCTTCAATATCTACTTTCTCATAGAAAGTAATCCATTGTGCTTGTCAGGGAAATTTCTAGTTCTAAAAAATTTATTGTAATGGAAGCATCAGGTGATAAAACTAATGTTGATTGGTTACATAAATGTTTTCATTAATCATTATTATTTTACCTGACATCTGGTTAAATAAAATTTTCTTAATTCAACAAAGTAGATATTGACATTGCATCCATAGTTTCTAAAAATCATCACCTCTCTAAATTGACAATTGATCACATTTTCCCCATTTGAAAAATTAACCCTTAATTTTGCAATTTGGAAGGTGAAGTTTCACAGAAATTGGAAGTACCATAAGAAGTATGCACTTTTACAAAAGCTATCCAAAATTTTAAAAATAAGGCTACATGAGGCAAACTTCATCATTAGGTCACATTTCATCTCAAGATGAAATGCCAATATCAGTAAAACAATATGGACAATTACTTACAAAATAGAAGACAAAATAATGAGTTTCAACCAATAAATATCTTTTACAATAAAACTGTCACCAAATAATGGGAAATTTAATAACAGTTGGAAAGCATATTTACAGATTTAAAAAAACTAAATTAGTACAGTGGAACCTCGGTATACGTCTGCTTTAGAATACGTCCAATTCGGAATACGTCCTGTTTGGACGAAACAAAGTTTGCTCGGTATACGACTTCTGTTCAGTATATGACTTAATTCAAATATAGGCGCCATCTATGAACAAGTAGCACTATCGGTAATACACCAGACTAGACGTTCGCGGTGCTACGGTTTATAACTTTGTTAAATTTCTTTTGATTTTAATTTGTAAGTAACATTTTATTATTTTTATTAATCATGAATTGCAAAAGGGAAATAGAAAAATAAAAAAGTGACTAGAATCACAACGGAACTGAAAAAAGAGACTGTTGAGAAATATGAAGGTGGCACGTGTGTTCGAGATTTAACGGTTGCATTCCGTATTCCGAGAACGATATCGACAATCGTGAAAAATAAAGACATTATTAAATTTGCTAACGTTGCGAAAGGGGTTAAAGCCAGCCGTTTTTTTTTACATGAGAATGGATTAATCATTTTTACATTACTTCTTATGGAAAAGGTTGGTTTGGTATACGTCTTATTCGGTATAAGTCCAAACACCAGGAATGGATTAAGGTCGTATACCGAGGTTCCACTGTACTTGATTTTCAGATAGAGCACTAAAATGATATTTAAACAACTTTTAAAATTACTTCATAGTTTACTCTTTTACATCTGATACTAGTGGAATACTATACAATAATATGAATAATTGTTTTATATTTTACTAATTTTGTGTAAAAATTGTAAATTTTTGAAGCACTCAATTAGCACTTAATATTAAACAAATTTTTCATTAAGTATTTATTTTGCTTATTATTTGTTTGACTGTCTGCTAACTTTTATTTAAACAAGCAAACAATCAAATGCTATGTAAAGTTTTAAAAAATAATCAAGTACTGTATTCAATTTTTGACCAATTAAATAGCACTCAATATTCAAGTAGGTTTCAATTCATTCTATTATGTTTTGTCTGCCAGCTTTCATATTATCCCTGCTCTTGGATCAAGTAACAAAAGCTATAGAGATATTTCTTATTTGAATTGTGATTTAAACTAAAATGTGCATTATAATATGTTAGATTGTTTAATATTAGTAATTCAAAAGTTTTGTGATTTTTTTGTAAGCCAATTTTGGTTAACACTTACCATTTAATTTGCATATGTACAGTACTTTCTTTGGTAACAAACAGTATTAATGTTTAGGTGAATATACTTTTAATAACATTTTTAAAAATTTTATTAATGATATTTTTATGTATAATCAGTTATTCTATTTTGTAATGAATATACTAATATAGTATTTTCATTATTTCAACCACCATAAAGTGTTGTTGTTGTTTATAAAAGTGTTCTTCACTGGTGTAAAGCCCTCTATATATATATATCAATACAATCATAACAATCCATCATTTTGTATCTCACTTCAAGACACTCAGCAAAGGCTAGTTTGTATTGAATAAACAGGTTTTTTTTTTAATTTACAAAATTTAAATAAATTTAGCAAAGTTGACAATACATAGATGTCTTCTGCTGTCCTTTTTAGCATGCTCCATTATAGTAGTGAAGTGCTTATGTTAGAACTTTTTTGTGTCTGTCAGATGTGCATGCACATGCTCCATTCAATCCATTTATTGCACATGTTCACACACATGCGCAAAAGGAAACTGAACATTTTCATTTACGATCACTGTAAGCTATAGTAAAAACTACCTGGTTCCTCTGGAATCTATAAACTACATCTTCCCTTACTGTATAGTCAGTGAAAAATTCTGTACTACTACTTGATTCCAAGAATTTATAAAATTTATTTCAAACAAAATTAATATTTGATTTGCTTTTGTGAAGTGTGCTATCAGATCAGCTTGACCAAGCTTGTTTTTTATCAAATCTAAATAGGTTTTTGTTTATATTTTAGTTTTCGAAAACAATATAGTAGTTTTTTCTTCAGCAAACTGTTCTAATAATAGCAAAGTATATAAATTCTTTCATTTTCCAAATGATGAAAATTATCAAAAAAATATGGCAAATAAATTTGAGGAGTGCAGATTGGACACCAAACAGAAACAATTTTCTATGTAAAGTAAATATTTTATAATTAATTTCAGGATTTCATATTGTTACAAATATAGTTTTATATATTTATGATATGTCATGCATCTGAGGTAAAATTATTGTTCTGAGGGAATCTAATCTGATAATTGCTTGGCTTTAATATAACTATTGGGCTTACAAATGCTTATATTTGTATATTTTAGAAATAAAACATTATAATAAATTTACAAAATTAATTTTTATGAAATATTTTATGCAAACAAATTTATCAATAACTGATCAATTGACATTAAGATTCAAAATGGCAAATTGCATAAATATAGAGCACTATACTGTGGACAGTTGGCACCACGTTTGAGTAATTGTTTTGGTTCCAATTTGGCTAACTAAACAATATTTTTGGCTTTTTCAGATATTTTCATTTATTTTATAACCATTGTTTTTGCTTTTCTGTTTATTGTTACTCAAACTCAGTGTCAATATATACTTTCTTTGTTTTGTATTTTAATTTTTACTTTGATTTTACGTAAATTTAATTTTTTTTTTTAACTCTTTCTGCCCTGTGGGCACTAAGAGAGCCTCTTTTTGCAAGCCCATTATGGGTTTGGCCAGGTCAACAATAGGGCAGCCAGGTGATGAGGGATGGGACCTGACATATCTAGTTGGATCACCCCCCAAAAAAATTCCTGGGAAATTTTCAACCCATCCGTAAATTTAATTTAGATTTTGTATCTTTAATAATTTTGTAAAAGTTACGTTTGTTGTTCATTCTGTTTTAATTTTATTTTTTTAATGTATCTGTAAATTCATACATTGGGCTTTTGCCCTGAATCAATATAAATAAATAAATTTACACAAGGCACTATAATTATTAGCAAATCACATAGTTACTTTTTCTCAAATCCATCCAACAAACAAAGCGATAATTACAGATACATCGTACTAACCTTGTATAGCTTTGCAGTTACTACTTAAAAATGTAAGGAAGGGAGACCTGAATGATTAAAAATCGGAATTGCACCAGAAAAACTTATAAAACACCCGAGGAAGACCCTAGAAGTGGGTCAAAAACATTTGTGTTACATTTTTAAGTAGTAACTGCAAAGCTATACAAGATTAGTACGACATATCTGTTACTTTTTCTCTTTTGTATTATGTATGTCATAATATTATAAAATTTATAAAATATAATTTAAAATTATTACTTACTGGAACAACTCTTGAATCACTAGATTTTAAATCTGCAGTTGTCACATGTCGAGTCTGATCATCAGTGCATTTTACATCTAGTGTGAATTCTATTGAACAGTCCGGGCAAAAATCTCTGCAACTACAATCCTGTAAAAATTTATTTTATTCATTGTAAAATACAATTAAGTTTTAGTTATTACTCAGCTATTTGTTAATTATTATTTTTATAATTTTTCTATTTATGATTTTAGTTATTAAAAATTTTAACATTCAGTATTCATACCCTTGAAAACTGCATTCTGTCCACCACTTCATCACTGGTTAAAGGAATAAGTCCAAGACGGTGTGCAATAAATTCATCATGAATAACAGTTGAGTTAGCTTCCAATTGCACCCAATCAATAGCCAATGTTGGAACTTCCGCTATAAACACTCTTCTTAAGCTATTTGCAACACTAAAAATATAAAAACATTGTTATTTCTAATAATTACCCTCAAAATTAAAATTTTGAAAAATGAATAAAAATTTTGACTTTCAGAATAATTTATTTTCTGAACTTTTTTAATATAGTAATTATTATTTCTTGCCAGCTCTGATAAAAGAAATACACAATCTATATATATATATATAATTGAGATGGGTTGATGATGATAATAGCAAGCGCAGAGCCCAAATGGTTCGGAATTAAAGGTTGAAATTTGGTACACAGTTAGGATACATCATGAGAATGTACACTAAGAAGGTGATTTTTCAAAATAACCCCCGTGGGGGAGAGTATTAACAATGAGAAAGCAACATGCAAGATTTACAGGCGCAGATGCAGTTTTTTGCATTTTGCAGGAAATCAAACATATTTTTAGACCCATCTAAAAATTTTCTAATTAATCTGGAATCAGGGGACCTACCTAATTCTTGCATTTTGTGAAAACAGGTAAGATTGGCTATAATGTAATAATCTTAATCTTCATTATCATTACTTTTTGCCCGAGCAATGCTGGGCTTACCTGCTAGTATAAATATATAATAATACAAATATCTCAGCATTTTTAAAGAACTCTTAAAACTGAAAGCAGGAAGGAAAAAAAAATGTTTCTATTAAAACATTTATTATTCCTGTGCTACAATTAAAGCAATATGTCAGTAAAAATATATCAATTTGCACTATAGATATATACTATCATTAATACAGCTATCTATTATAAACTTAATTTAGAATGGAATGTAAATGACTTTAATATTGTTTAAATAAAAATTCTCAACTGTATCAAATAGCTAGCTAGAATTATCATAGCAATTTTTAAATCATTATATTTATCTATACATGGCATAATTCAGCAACTATTCTGCCATTTAATAAGTTTCTCTACAATTAAATTAATAAGTTTGTTAAAGGTTAAAGAAAAACAATATATCTGATTGTATAAGTGCATTGTTTTTCTTCTTTTTGCTTTATATAATGTTTCATTCAATCGTTCAGAAGCATCAATTGTAACTATTGTGTCCATTACTTTACTGTAGTGATGTAAGAATATTCGGTTACTATTCGGTATTCGGCCTATTTTTCGCTATTCGGCCAAATACCGAATACCTAAAAACAAGAGTAAGAAATAACAAAAAAACAGTAAATTTATCATTTTGGTATTTAGATTTAATGTTATCAGGTTAGTGTTGTTTGTTTATATTTATTTATAACTTATAACATGCACAAAATATGAAAGAAAATAATATTAGTCACATGTATTCACAATTTATAAGTACAAAGATCAGCAGACGTACACACCTATTCGTTCGAGAATCGTCGCACATCTGAGGGTCTGACCCTGCCTATCCTTCTTTTTAAGCGCTCGTATTTGCGCTTCCCTTTCTCTTTCCTCTACTGCTTTAGTCCATGTATGCCTATGCATACATCATAACACACGCTCACGATACTTTTGATTCGTCACTTTTCCGTCCTAGATTTCCCATTTTACAATTACGTGTCTCATAGCCTGGTGATAACGGAGAAAAGAGACAGATAGGACATCAGTATAAGTCACAGTTATGATTTCACAGATTTGAGACAGCTTAATAGCCTGAATGGTCCCAGGCTTTCGTCCGTGCACGCTAAGTGACTTTTATTACAAGCATTTAGCTTTTCAAAATCTATGACAACAATTGTTTGGCATTGACGGCTGCAAATTTCGCGCCAATAAGCTGCCTCGACTTGTTCGATTATGTTATCAACTCAACTTCATATTTATTTTCACATTTTTACTTGGTGGTCCTACTCTGTTCTTCTTCCGTTATTTACACATGTAGGTCATTTCATTGTTATTCACATTTGATATCATCATTTATCACATACTGCCATGACGCTCTTATCTGTCCACTACAACTGTCAATAATTAACACGATTGGCGAAGCATAGTGAGAGCGGGCCAATAGAGAGCAGGGTCCTTGCCATAATGCGGTTTGCGCGCCAATTTTCATACGTGCGTTAATCGAGCTGAATAGTTTGGCCGAATATTCGACTATTCAACCACACTCCTGGCCGAATATTCGGTATTCGACCTGAGGCCGAATATACTATTCGTTGCAACACTACTTTACTGTTTTAATACCTAAATAATATTGTCTATAACTAATTATGATTAATTGTGTTAGAACTCCTTACAGCTGGCTTGGTTGTGAAAATACAAAGTTATCATACCGCACTCACGAGATAGTGCCAGTTTCTTAACTAAGATGTCTTCATCATTATTACAGCCTTTTAATATAACTTTTACGTATACTTTTTCACGCATTTAATTAAAACACAAACAGAAGAGGGACTATTTTAAGGTCCGAAATGCATTTTGGGTGTAATTTACATATTTTGTACATATTGGTTTTAATTATTGTAAATCTCTTTGGTTAATGTCCAGAGTCGTAGACTGTCCTGCTTTAGCCTCGAAACCGGACCGCTTTGGAGACGACGTGTCACGTTATGACGCGAGCGAACGGCGGCGGCTGTCATGGCGGCTCACCGCTGATTCCAGCAAACAAAAGGAAACAGTGGGGACGCACATTCTAACCTAACCTAACCTATTCTAATAATATAATTGGTAATAATTATGATAATTTATCAGAATAGGTTAGGTTAGGTTAGGTTAGAACGTGCGTCCCCACTGTTTCCTTTTCTTTTTGCGGAATCAGAGATGAGCCGCCATGAGTCTACGTATATGGACGTTAACCCGCGCGTTGGTTTTCCCCGTTTATCGCGGCGCAGCAGTTGCCGCTGTTCGCTCGCGTCGTCACGTGACACGTCGTCTCCAAAGCGGTCCGGTTTCGAGGCTAAAACAGGAAGAGCCACCATGACAGTCCACGACTCTGGACATTAACCATCTCTTGGCACAAGTAAAATATATATTAAATTTAAGAAATTTTGTGTTCATGTTTACTGGTGTGATAAGCCCTAATATAAATTCAAAAATCATTTATTTTCTGAATAAAATATGGAAAGCTGCAAAGTTATGGTACCAAAGTTATAAGAACAAAATCAGGTAGATGTTTACTTAGGTAATCCCTATGGCGACACATCCGGAATCTCAACAACACGAGTCTCAGAATAGTCCCAAAAAACTCATGCGATGAAGTAATTTTGTATTCAATGGTAACAATTTACTCAAGCGTTGTTTAAGAACTTTCTACATAGTTTTTGACCAAATCTATCACAAATTGTTTTGTAAAGTACTATATTATTTTTCCGACTTTCCAACGATTATCGACACTACTGTGTGCCGGAAATAGCCGTTCCCTAACGGGTACTTTACGCGGATTCGCGTTAGTGTGCCAGGCCTGGACTTTAAGCGTGCACCGAATTAAATAATGACAAAGTTTGTCAATAACAAAATCAAATATTTAATTAAACTTCTATTAATAAATTCTATACAGTATTTAGTAAAAATCAAACAATAATTTATTCAATG